AAAAAAAAAAAAAAATTCTTAAAATATTTTTTTGCTACAGGTAGCATAAAAAAAAAAAACCTTTTAAAAAAAAATAAAAAAATCATCAAAACCCCTTTTTTCTCTTCATCAATTAATCATTATGAAATTCTCAATTTTACTCGCTTTGGCTTTAAGTTATACTACCTTATCATCAGCTCAAGGTCAAAATTTTCGTCCTGCCAATGCTGATAAAGCAGAACAATTGACAAAAGAATTCGCAAAATTAACCAAAGATTCCCCTTGTGAAAATAATGCTCAAGCTTGTGTTGAAGATCAATTCGCTCAATGTGTTGGTGGAAAATTCCAATTGAATTCTTGTGGTGGTGGTGAATTAAAATGTGTTGTCTTACCATTGGTTAATAAACCAGGAACTTCTATTACTTGTAGTACTGAAGCTGATCGATTAGCCCGTCTTGCTGATGCTCGTGGTGGAAAAGCACCAGAAAATGGAAAAAATGGTCAAGATGGAAAAGTACCAAAAAATGGTAAAGATGGTAAAGATGGAAAAGCTCCAAAAAATGGTAAAGATGGTAAAGATGGAAAAGCTCCAAAAAATGGAGATGATCTAAAAGCACCAGATAATGGAGATGGTGGAAAAGCACCAGAAAATGGAAAAGATGGAAAATTACCACCCGACGATAATTTATGTAAATGCCCTCCTTCTAACAACGATGGCGGTAATGGCAAAGAAAATGACAATAAAGATGGCGGCAACGGCAAAGAAAATGACAATAAAGATGGAGGCAATGGCAAAGAAAATGACAATAAAGATGGCGGCAATGGCGATGGAAAAGCACCAGAAAATGGAGATGGAAAAGCACCAAAAAATGGTAAAGATGGTAAAGGTGGAAAAGCACCAAAAAATGGAGATGGTAAAAAAGCACCAGAAAATGGAAAAGATGGAAAATTACCACCCGACGATAAATTATGTAAATGCCCTCCTTCTAACAACGATGGCGGCAATGGCAAAGAAAATGACAATAAAGATGGCGGCAATGGCGATGGAAAAGCACCATCCGATAATGATAAATTAAAAACACCTCCAGCTAATGGTGATGGAAATAACAACCAAGATAATTTAAAAACACCTCCCGCTAATGGTGATGGAAACTTGGCAGACATCCGAAAACAGAATGCCGCTGATGCAAAAGCTTTACAAAAGAAATTTGATGCACTCAAGCCAGACGATAAATGTAATGACAATGACGTAGCTTGCGTTGATAATAAGTTTGCCCAATGTTCTGGTGGAAAATTTGCTTTAAGTGATTGTGCTTCTGGAACCATCTGTGCTGCTTTACCTTTAGTTTTGAAGAAGGGTACTACTGTTGCTTGTACTACTGAAGCTGATCGTGATGCTAGACTTAAACAATCTGAAACAAATACAAAATAATTTTTTTTTATATTTGTTTAGATTATTATTCTTTTGTTGGTTAGAATTTTTTTTTTTTAAAAAAAATCTTTTTTTGTAGGATTAGTTATGATAGGAAAAATATTACTCTCTTTTACTTTCTTTTTAGTTTGTCAAAAATTTTTTTATTAATTGTTCTATTGCGCAATAAAAATGTAATTTTTTGTTTATAAAATTGTAAAAAAAAAAATGAGTATTTTTGATTGATTATATTATTGATGTTGATATCTGTAAATTGTATGCTATTTATGTCTTCGAAGAACCATTATTAAACTGAAAATTTATTTTTAAAGAATTTATGCCGAAATCGATGGTAAACTTGCTGAAAAGATCAAGGCACGTGATGATGACTTCACTAAGGAGGCGCAAAAAATCTTATCAATGAACAACTTGACCACGTTAATATCGAAGCCTGCCGTAATGATTTTAGCTTTTAGCTCAGTTAATGCTTCCATCGAAGCTCTCCAAAATGGATTAATTCAATACTATGCAATTGTCATAAGAAATCTGCCAATCGAAACTGACCAACAAAGTGTGTCAAACCATTCCGAAGCATCAAATCGATCACATGCAAGCTCATCCAGAAGTTCATCTAGCTCGGGTTCAATGACATTCAAGGGTGCTAGCTTAACTATCTGGACTCAATTCAAGGAAATTTTCGATAAAATTAAGGCAGAAAAAAGATTCTTAAAGAAATGTGTCTTCATGTAGCAATGGAAATTTGTGAATTAGGTGGGAATATTAAGAAGGTTATGGTTTAAGAGAAATATCAAGAAGAAGGATGGGTATATTAGTACTTTATATGATATTGGTTTATGAATAGATAGCAAAAACAATGAAAATAATGAAAACTTAGATAGTAATGTGGAGTAGCAGGAAGGAACTCTCATCTCATGGGTTAGGGTTCGAGATGCTTCCTCCCTTTAGACCTACTACAATATCTTTTATTACATTTATTTTATTTGCTTATCTGACCCCAGATATTTAAATTAAGCAAAGCAAATAAGCAAATACATTACATAGATTACATAATAGAAATAAAAGCGTTTACATATTATAACAGGTAATCAGGTTTGTTTTTTTTTAACTGTGCTGTATAGAATCGTGGTTAAAGAATTATTCAAGAAAGTTCATCCATAAAAGTTCAGCGATACCTGTAAAAGGCTAAAGATAATTAAATAAAAGGATTTCGTCTGATAAAATACTGTAAAAAATATACTATACATTAATTTTCTGATTTAGCGAATTGACAAGAGCACGGATTATGATTGTCATGTTTATTATTAGAATGTAATGACATGACCATTTCTGCCATCTGTAAAAAGACATTTCTTCAGGTTTTCACTTGCTTTTGAATTTCGATTAAAAAACTATTATTTTTCTTATAATTACCTTATTTTGGGAACCTAATCGAGCAATTTCTTTTTGTAAATCATTAATCTTCAATTCTATTCGAGCTTGATATGATCCTATATTCATGTCTAGTTGCATGGAATAGTGAAGGTAATAGAGGACTTCAATTATATTTGCTAGAGCAAGGAATAGGGCTAGTTGACAACAATTAATTTCCTTTAAAAATCCAAGCATTTTACGATAATATTTCTTTAAGAAAATTTTACTTTAAGAAAATTTTACGAGATAGTAAAAAAACAATATTCCAATCTGAATTCATGAATTTATTAAATCAAAAAGCTCATACACTATACTTTTTGCATATGTCATTAGATTTATAGAATCAAGTTACATCATTATTATTTTTTTGCAATATAGATAAGTCACTAGATTCAGTAGTAGTCGATCGGCATTTTTGATCGCGTTACACTAAAATCAGAATAAACCACCGAAAAATGTAGATCAGGGAGTAATTTGGCGCAGTACATCAAATATTTTACGCAGAATCGTACTTGCGATCAATAAAAAAATCGAAATATCTTAACAACAAATTTTATGAATAAAGGCGGATCAAAATGTTGTGAAAATGAATAGCGAAAATATTGCATTTCTTATTTTTTTTTAAACCCAATCATTAATTTCCTTGAATTCATACTGTGTCTCGAAATTACTTGATCTCAGATTAGGGGGATATTATTTTACATAGTCTGTGTGGGTGATAGTGTATGAGTGAGATAATTTATTTCAGAAAACTAGTATAGTAAAAGAGTGTTCATGCAATTAGCAATAGAAGTAAAAACAAATCAGTTATAGATATTTTCCTAAGATGTGAAAGGGCAAAGAAATAATTTGATGCTGGAACTCGCATTAAATGGCCTAGGATCCAAGAACTCCCTCTCTCTTTGATAGCATCATTTATTTCAATCATTACATTCCTCTATTTTACAATTTTTATTAATTTTTACTTAATTGGCTGGCCTTTCTCGTATATTATTTTATATTCCAAGATATTTGGAATAAGCTATAGTAATGTAAACTTTAAAGAATATAGAAGAATAGTCGATGCAATATGGCCTTTAACAAAAAGATATGATCACAAAATACCAGAAATGTGATGCTCTTATATTTATAATCCATTTAGGAAAATATTTAAAGAGAATCCAGAAATTCTTTTTATCTACTGTATAGTAATGTTTCATTTATCTGTTATGGATCACAAGTGCCGTTCCTAATCCTTTGGTTTTTTGATCTTGTTCACTGAATATTATTGAGTAAACCTTTGACTTAATATCTTGGTTTATAAAGTATTCCTGACAATAGTCTATTTTAGTTTCTGATATAGCCATAATATTGATGTTATTTTTTTTGATAAATTCCAACAAACTGTGAAGTTTTTGTATAAACAGAGTACTAGCTATCCCATCTATATTATGTGCTGCTATGTGCAAATCTAAGTACATCGAATCATTTGTTTCTTGATTATTTAGATTCCCCTTAGTAAACTTTAACCTCTATCTTGCTAAGAATACATTAACGTTTTCTTCATTTGTCAAAGATTCGACTATTTCCTTTAAATTGTCTGGATCTTTTTGGAAATCTCCTTTTTCATACGCTAATTCAGTTGTTTTCATGTGTATTTCCTGTATTTATTCTGCTATTCGTCTTATGTTTGTTCTGTGTTTGTTGTGATTATTCATTACTCACATATTGTATGGAGGACGACGCGTTGTTGTTCTAATTATTTTTGAGAAGAATGCTCAGAACTTGGCATTGTTCTCTACCTTTCAGCCTTTCTCTGTGTGTAACTCCATTGTTTATCATCTTGTGTAACCTTTACTTTTGTTTTTTATTTAGGCCAGCTAAAGAAAAAAAATTTTTCATAAATGTCTGAATTATAAATAGACTAATAGTAAATAAGCTAATTCATATGAAATAGAACTTCAGAACTTCTATTATTCAAGATATTATTTTGGTAATTATACTATAAATTATATATATATATTTTTAATATATTAGTAATATTACTAATATTTATTATATATTTACAAAGAACTATAATTAAACTAATAATACATCAGGAAATTATATAGTGCAAAAAGTTGCGCAAGTTTACATATTATAATATTTCGTAAGCTTTCAGACCTGCCGCAAGTTTACATAAGCATAATATTTTGTAACTTTTTAAAATATTTTGAAATATTACAATATGCAAAGCTTTGTAATTTTACAATTCGTAATATTCTGTAATTTTACTGTATAATACTTCGCAACTTTTTAAAATATTTTGAAATTCTATGATGCGTAATGCTCCATAATTTGACAATTTGTAATATTCTGTGATTTTACACAATGTAATATTTCATAATGTTTCAAAATATTTTAATAAATAATACTTTATTTTCTGTACTATAAGTTTATAATGTATATTTTATTAGATATAATTTTATTAAACCATAAAAAATTACAAGTATTTATTAATAGAGAAAATTTATTCATCGCACGTGCGATGACATCGCTACCCCCCATTTTATTTATCACGTGATAAATCCAATTAAAATATAGCACGATTATTGTGTTACAATAAATATAAACAATTTTATAGCTTCGTCGATAGTTTTTTTTTCTAACACTCTTTTTAAATAAAAAAAACAACCTGTTTTTTTGCTTAAAAACGCGTTAAAGTTGCTTCTTAACATTTAAAAATACTTTTATGTACTAGTAAAGTAGCTCAAAAACTTTAATTGTTCAATTATCATAAAGAAATTGGGTTACACGGCTCAAGCAGTGATTCGTGAAACATGGAAAATGATAACACTCCACAGGTTAGTCAATTGCGCACATTTTTTTTTTGTGAAATACTACTGAAATACTATTGAAAGTGCTTAAAAAAAATTAATTTGGGGTAAACGGCATATGGTATAGAGTTTTAATAGTGTTAATTTCTTAACAATTAACATCAATAGCATTATTTATTAGTTAGATAGCGTTAAATGTACATTATTTATTAGTTAGGTGACGTTAAATAGCGTTAGATATATATTAATTAACGTCACAAAGCATTATATTATTGCGCATTAATTTATTGGTATTAAATAGCATTACTTTAATGTGCTTAACAGCTAACTTATTTATTAATCTATTAAATAGCAAGAAATTGAAACTGAAGTTGAAATTCCCGTAGAAATTATTCTTGGTTCAGAATTAGAAAGTCTTGACTCTACAAATTATCCTTCATTAACACATCCTATAGAATTATCTGTTAATTCAAAATTTAGTTCGTGGGAAATTGCTGAACATTATCTAAAGGAATATGGAAGGCAAAAGGGATTTGTAGTTAATAAATACCGAGTTGAATATATTCAATTATCAAACTCAACTGTTCAAATTCCCAGAAGAAGAACATTTGCTTGTGAATATGCTGGAAAGTACAAACCTAACTATAAGTCTAAGCAAATTGATCAACAACGTAATAAAGGGTCAAAAAAAACTGATTGTAAATGGCGGGTTCACTTGAGTAAAACTATAAATAATAATTTCATTCATGTAACGTCTATCCATCTTGAACACAACCACAAAATACTTGCTGATAATACACAATTTGCTACAACATTCCGAAAATTTAATCAATCTATAATGAATGAAATTGAACATGCAGTTATACATGGACGTTGTGATGCATATACTATAAGAAATCTATTACAACCATTATTTCCTGACCAGCTTTTTCTTACACAAGATCTTTCAAATGCAATTCAAAAAATTAAACGTGAAAAAAAAATAGCTGGAACAGATGCTTCTCATTTGTTAAAATTTCTCCTTGAACGACAAAAAGAAGAACCTATGATGTTTGTTCAACCTTTAATAAATGCGGATAGTGATAGACTGTGTGGTATATTTTGGATGACGGAAAATCAAATTATTTTGTGGACGCGTTATTCAGATGTTATTTTACACGATAATACCTCTAGAACTAATAGATATAACTGTCCATTATCTCTATTTATACTTGTTGATAATGATGGTAAATCACGTTTAGGAGCACAAGCTTTTTTAAATGATGAAACTCAGGAAAGTTATGAGTGGATTTTACAACAAACGCTAAATGCAACAGGAATTGAACCAAAAGTTATAATCACTGATATGGATCCTGCAATGGATGTGGCATGTCAAACTACGTACAAAAATGCGTATCACATACATTGCATTTGGCATATGACCCAAAATTTACCTAAACGTCTCAAAAATAAACTTGGTGCTGCAGATTTTAAGATATTTTTTCATGATTTTTGGAAAACTCGCAATTCACTATGTGCAGAGGTTTTTGAACAACGATTTCAAGCTTTATTAAATAACTTTCCCAGTGGCAGTGATTATTTACATGACCCAATATATTCAACACGCCATTCATGGGCACGAGCATTTACAAACAGAATATTTACAGCTGGTATACAGTCAACACAGCGTGTGGAGTCAATAAATGCCATTATTCATAAAGTTGTTAATTCTAGCTCTACAATGGCAGAAGTAGCTGAGGCATTAGATTCTCGAATGCAAAAAGAAGAAATAAACAAGAATTTTATAGCATGGAAATACAAATCAACAATATATCATCAGCCATTTGTTGTGGAAAATTTTTTTAGTAACGTTAATAATATAGTTCAAAAATATTTTTCACCAAGAATTGTTGGGGAAATACATAAACAAATGTGCGAATCAATAATTTACAAATGTGAAAAACTAGATATTAAAGATGCATTTGAGTTTATTGAGGATCAACTGGTGAGTAAAAAATTAAAATTATAGTAGAATGATATAATAAATGTTTAACTAGTACTATTATGTATATATTTTTAGGATCAAAATGAAATTCCCGAAAATCAAGAAAGCCAAGGAACGTCAAATGATCAAGAAGAAACCAATAATATTGAAGATTATTACGATTTTCGCCAGACATACTTAAAATCATTGTTAAATTCAGTACCAAAAGAAATGATTAAAGAAGTATGGCGTATCATTCCATATATGGTGCCAAGTTCATATCAGCATATTATTATTCTTAACGATGGAACCCATTTATGTACATGCTTGTTATTGGTTTCATATGGAATTATTTGTCGTCATTATTTTAAATTAATGATTGAAAATCCAAACGCATTATTCCATATAATGCTAATGCCAACAAGATGGCTTCTGGA